TATGTACCAGATTAATGCTGTGGACCAAAATTAGTGGCCTTTTAATCAAAGCCGGCCTTGCCAGCGTTTTCTCCTGTAAACGTATCAGCAGCTTCCAAAATGGTTCTCTTCGTAGTTTATGTATAAAGTGCAACAGTTTCAGCATGAGGCACAGATATATCCATAATCACCGGTCCAGCTTTGCATAATGACATAACAGTGTACCTGCTTGGACTCACCCTTCAAGTTCATCCTATTCCACCGACAAGTACATTTATTATTAATGTAACATTTTTATTTTTATTTTTTTGTCGTACTACAGATAGCTCTCCACGCCGGTGTGGGCGTAGCCAGCTAGCACCAGAGAGCCGGGCAGGAACAGGAGACGGATGTAGGATTCTGCCAAGACGACCCGGGCCAATGGTAGCAAAGACGAAGAGCAGCTTCACAGCCCTCTGCTGCACAGCAGGACGGCACTGAAACTCTATACGAGTTCGGCGATACTCCAGACGCCAAGCAGAGGGACCCTGTTCATTCCTTACCAATTTTAATAAAAGTATCACCCAATAACTGCTTACTTGCATTTAACTCCACTAGGAATTTAATGAATGAATGATGAATTTAAACCGGAAAGGCAAGCCTTTTATACCGCTAATAATTAAGAAATTGCAATATGTCTTTTGATGTAAATAGACAAGACATCATTAGATATTAAAAACTATTTAAATACATTGAAATGAAATAGAGAAAACATAAACCAATGATGTCAGATTAATAATCAATTGGTATTTGATTATTATGTGATTATTAAGCTCAGATAAGCTATGCAAATGATTACTGAGTGCTTATCCTCATGCCCACACACAGAGACACACAGAGAGACACAGACAGTATGCGTACACAGAGAGCTCATCTCTGCCTTGTGGCACACAGATTCTACATTGCTGAGGGTGTCAGGGAAAGAGAAGCCGAAGGGGTGGGGGGCGTTGGCGCACAGGCGACGTCTGGTGAATTAACAAATGGGGCCGCCGATGCCCAGGTCAAGCCAAATGGCTGTCATGCTATGCCCCGCCACAAGAGCGGCGACGGCGCTCCATTGTCAGGCTCTCTGGAACTTTCGGAAGTATCAGCAGACAGAGACGGTATCACCTTCTTCTAAACAAGGAGCAGCTCTGAGAGCTCTTAATTACATGGGGTTTGAATTGCAAATCCAAACGCGGGAGCAGCTGTGCGCATTTGCATATCACAGATCTGGCGTGTATGTGCGAGAGAGAGAGAGAGAGAGGGAGAGGGAGAGAGAGAGGGAGGGAGGGAGAAAGAGAGAGACAGTGTGAAAGAGAGGATGAGCCAGCGAACGAGAGGGAGAGGTGATAGAGAGAGTGAGAAGATCATTGTTCCACCAAAAAATGGTATCAGTTCTCAATTGCTATTTTGAACACTATTAAAATTTCGTTTTTGACAGCGAGAAACAGTTGGTGTAATCAGTATGAGTATATATGTGAGTAAAAGGTATACATTGTGCTTTTTTTGGCAATTCCTCATAGGCATGCATGATTGTGAGCAGGGTTTATACATTTAGGTGATATGTATGGTATTTATAAGGCCGGTGGTGGTCAGGATTATCGGCACAAAATAAATGTAAAAAAAATTTTTAGCAAAGAAAATGTAGATGGGGAATAATATAAGATACAGATTCAGAGAATATAACATACAGGTAAGAGAATATTTTAAGAAATAACAGGGATTAAATGATGCAAATTCATTACATTTTCCAATGACCATTAACACATACATTTAAAACTATGTAGAAATGAAAAGAAAATATTTGTAATACAGTTGATTCCCTTGGATTCACCACACATCAGCTGACATCCCAAAGGTCTACAGTGAAGTGCAGTGTGAGGGGAAGACATTAGCATACAGCTGATTCCCCTGGATTCACCACACATAGCAGCTGACATCCCAAAGCTCTACAGTGAAGTGCAGTGTGAAGGGAAGACATTAGCATAGAGCTGATTCTCCTGGATTCACCACACACATCAGCTGACACCCCAAACCCTACACTGAACATTGTCAGAAGTGGTCGTTGGCTGACTTTACTGGCCCCTTGCTGAGTTCTCCTAGGTAGTATGGCTCCCTATAATGATTTACTCAGCATATGATTTCTGTAAAAATATATGGGATCTGTCAAATCATTTGCAACAGGGGTGGCCGGTGTCTATGCAGATTTTTGGGATAACCTTTAGGTCAGCTGTTCAAACTCAGGTGTGAGGACTCTTCAGCCAATCAGTCCTCTAATTAGTAATCTAATTAGGTAGTTGCAGCGAAAACCCGCAAACACACCGGCCATTTGCGGATAAGATTGGCCACCCCTGATTTACAATATTGTTTGTCTATATAATTATAGAAAATTATCATATGAAGATCCTCTATCCTCTAATTTTAACATGCAAATTCTTCCTGGTGGTGTTCTGACATCTGCTACTCTTAACAGACATGTGGATTACATGTAATGAATGCCTCTTTACTAGAAGACACAGTTAAAGTCCATGGGTGACTTTGGACCACACCCAGATCTACACACAGAGTCAAGCAGCACAATCATATCGTTGTTGGTATGGGGTAGCTTACCGTACCTTAGAACCAATGTAACTGATCATCATCTGTTCATATGGCAACGTGGGTCCAGTATATGCGAGCATCATCCTTAGATGGTGTCCTGTCATGCTTAGATGGGGCATCGCGTGTTCAGAATAACTTGGCCACAGTTCTTACTGGGACCACGGGTCACAGGCTGTCGTGACAGGCACTGTCGCTGTGACTAACAACTACTGCCTCTAACGTTGTTTTGCAAAAAATCGGCTCTCCGCGGCGAAAATCATTAGTGTGAGAGACGGAATATGCCGCATGTGCGAATAATTAGGCATTACGTTCTGATTATTACGGAGGATGTATGATTAAGTATGAATGATTTTATTTGGCACGTAGGCAATTATAAAAATTCATTGCAGTGCTATATATTATAATCCTTCTAAAACACCAATCAGCCGAAACACGCCTGGTATTCCTACTCTGAAAGCATTCTGCATAACAGAACATCACTGTATTGGGCACAATTGAGAGAGCGGTTATTACAGGGCACTAATGCCTAGGGCTTATCAATTAAGAGTATGAGTCGTGGCTAACAGGCAGCATGGGTGCCACTGTGGTGCAGGCGAGTTTTTGCGATGCATTTGCCGGAGCGCACATGGGAGGCGCGCGCCGGCGGGAGGCGCGAGGACTCCTCCGGAGGGACTTCCCGGCCGCGTGCGGTTTTCCAAACAAATACCAGCTCCAAAAATCAATACAAAGTCCGTCATAAATAATAAACCAACTTTATATATTGCCTTTTAGTCGGCGATCTCCTCACAGGAAAGTCTGCCTCTAAATAGCACTAGGAAATGCAAAGGTTTTTAAATAACATACAGATGCTAAAATGTATTTGGAAAATCTGAGATATAACGTGAGTAGCAGTCGCCAACCGCCTATTAATAATTTACTGCTTTCAAAACAATTCCGAATGAGACGCTTGATTCCGCTCTCATAACTATGCGTCAGACTATTAGATAAACATGACAGCTCCCGTATTGGGATAGGAAATTTACGGCACGGTTTTTGAGTTTTAAGACGATCTCCTGTTTTGCTACAGGACGTACAAACAAGCGGTCTGTAATGAACAGAATGGAAATGCGCACTTCATATGCGCTGCGCTGCGCTCCGGGGACAGAGGCTGCGATCCTACAGCGTAATAACAGACGGCGGCATGAACTTCCATTGAGCGTCGTTATGCTTTTTATTCAAGCTGCTCCCGCACATTTATTTTGCACGGGCAGGAGTAATGGTTCGGGTGCATCTGCATGCTTTTAGAAACCCAAAATATCAGTCAGCTGTCACGGCCAAGAAGACCGTACATGCACAAGCAGAGCGAAGGTTAGACCAAGGTTATCAATACCCCGGGTTAAAGATAGACGCGTGAGGGTGGCACGGAGATTGATTTAGCGAGGTGAAATTCAATAGGTGTAATGGAAAAATCCTTTGTGTCTCCCGTTGTTTGTCATCTGTGGTAATGGCAGGTTCTCTAGGACGCCATCAGTTGTAAACAAACATGTTTGGAAGGTTTACAAGGGCAAGTCCTGTCTGGAAAGGTGATACGGTACCAAATCCGCTCATTAAAAACGCGTGTACGGTCGCTACGTGTACGGTATTAGCCTAAATCTCTCATTTTAAATGTGACATTCCTTGATCATTCGTTACTGCAACAATAAATGAACATCGTAGCGTTGCACGAACAGGAAATGCAGATAAACAAATGATCAAATTGTTCTTAAATTGACATTGCTGAAAAGGACCGCGTGATATGCAACACCAAACTAAACACCAAACAGAAAGTACAACGGGAAAGTATACTATACAACTATATACAACTATACAGTATACAGCTATACAACTCAACCAGCAGGAAAAAACAGTAAATAATATACCAAATTAATATACCAATAACAACACAAGAAGCAGATGGGGTATACAAATGAGGTATCAGTTGGTGGCGTTAGACCACACAGCAGCCAGCTCCCCAGCACTGCAATATTAAAGCATAACTTGTTGCCATGACAGTTGTAGTAAATATATTCCTGTACCTTTTCTAAGGGTCTAAGTAAACTTTTGAGGGAATGTTCTAGCCCACAATTCTTTATCTAAAAATCGTCTGTTGAGCCAGCGAATGATGCCATCGGTTAAAAAAAAAGGACAGCATGTTTATCTCTAAGTTTGCACTTATTTAGATATGTCTCAGGGTTTCAGTGTAGTGCAGTTTAGAGAAATGAGTTTTGAGTCACTTTTTTTTTTTGAGGACCCAGAGGGATTCCCGGAGGGGAAGCTCATTCGACTGAAAACAGACTCGACTTTGATTTCTAACCCTTCAGTCCTGGTGAAGTCAGATGGTCTGATTCTCAGTGCATTCCTATCATTTTTTTTTCCGGCAGGTTGACTAAGAGGAACTCTGGCAGCTAAGGACCTGAACTCCTGAAGGTAGCTGGTTTACGTCCCAGGAGGGGTTCCCTTGCTGAGGTAACCTTGCGTAAAGCACCATATCTGAATTTCTCCAAAAAAGTAGTGTCGAGTAGTGTAATTGAGCAAATTTTAACATGAACTCTCTTAGCAAAAATGTGTCAGTAACCTAAACATACATGTATAGGCAAGGTCCCATGAGCTCCTGAAGGTCCTTGGCTGGCCTCTTGTCCACATACCCTGTTGCTGAACTTGATAGACTCCACCTGACAGCCGGAGACAGGACACCTGAAGGGCTGGAATGTTCCTTTATCGAGGGAGTGGCGTTACACCTATCAGGCCGTTATATTTTCTTAAAAGTAATTAGAGAACGGACTGCACATAGGAGCACGGGTCACTATGGGGCGTGCCCAGAGCCGATAGCTGCCTGGTCATTCAGCCCTATTGTCATCGCCCAGAAACGTCTCCTGTGTCCCCCTCACTGCCGGGACGCTACTATCTCTGCCTGGTTTGGCAGACTTGGGCTCCTACCTCACAGCTGCAGACAGAGCCCTTTTTCCATTATTGGCAGACGAGGATCTTCACATTGAAGAAGACCTTGCACAAAATGAAGCAGAAAGACACTTTAGGTTTCTGTGTGCCAACACAGAAGAAAAGCCAGTGAAGTCAGAGGGATTAAAGAAATGGTCCCTTGGCCAAAAAAAGTGCAGTTGTAAAGGCATGCATGCAATAACAGTAAACATACCCGGCAAATGACTAATTATTTATTATTACCTAACCTAGATAGACGTAGACTCCGCACTGTAAACAGGCCACTACTGAGAACCAGCCTGGGAGAAGGATGCAACTGTTCAATTTTGATATTATTATTTTTTTCCCTTTCCGCTAACATTTTTTTCTATGATAAGCCATGCAATTTTGATAATTTGTCTTTGCCTTCAGGTACAATATTCAGATTGCTGCCCTATGTACCATAAGACTTGGGCTGAGAGGAATGTTTCTGAGTCCAGACAGCTCAGCTCGCTTCCTGTCAGTGCTACGAAAAGTGTGCGTAAACGCGGAATGCTTTGTCAGGGAGGTAAACACTGATACATTATACGGGGGCACATTTGTGATTGAATGGATGCTGACAAGATTTGAGAGATGGATTTAGATCAGAGTCTTTTGTCTTCGTGTAGTCTCGATACAGTAAATCAAAAATGATCAGTGTGGCATCACGTCCAAAGCCTGACTGCTCTTTTAAGGATTCCCTTAAAAGCACAGTATCTGGCTGAATATCAAGCTTCTGGGTGCACATATTTTTTATACAAGGCTGTGGATGTCAATGTGTTACTTAATTTTACATTTTTTCTTACATTTGCTTTCTGTATTTTCCCCTTTTTCCCCAGATTGAAAATATTTTTTTTTTACCTTTTCACTAACAATAAAAATAAAAATATCTAAACACCAGTAAAAATCTGTTACGTTCTGCCCACCTAACCCTAACCCTAACCCTCTGTCTCCTCCCTCACGTGGCCCTCATGAGTCGCGCCTGATGCTTATTGCCCCTATTAGTCTTTGTATATAAGTACCTTTTTGTCTCGTCTTCCTCAGTCCGTTCATTAGTGTCGCTCCTCTTGTCAGCCCATGTCCTACCTAGTTGTAGTCTTCTCAGTTTGATCCCTTGCATTCCTGTTTCTTTCCAGTCTCTGTTTGTTTCATTTTATTTCAATAAAACCCTTCCGGTTTATCAAAAATGTCTGGCCTTGAATCCTACTTCCTGAAATTCAGGAAGGGTAGCGGGAAGGATGGCGTCTTACCCGCCTCCAGGTATCTCAGCCTCACCCCGTCTCCTTCTGTCCCACCGGCTCCAGCCCAGTCTCCTGATGCCCCGCTGGTGCCCGCCTCATCTTCTGTCATTGCCCTGGTATTGTCATCCCTTGCCGGTCGTCGCCCGTCAATCGCCCGACTCCCCAGTCACTGCCAGTCCGATGCCCAAGTCCCTCATTGCTTCCAGACCTCCGGAGGTCTTGAAGTGGGACCCTCTGGACCTTGCCCTGAACCCCACTCTGGGTCTCCACCTCAGCCCGAGGCTTCTGCCAACCTGGTTCTAGGTCCTAGGGCAGTCACCGGTGTCGGTTGAAGCCTAAGAGAGGGGTTGGCTGAGTCTCCATCTCCCGGAGCGGGCGATGTGGGCACACCAGGCATGCCGGCCTCCCAGGCTCCCATCTGCCCAACCTTGCCCACCCAGCTGACTTGCCTGCTGAGACCCAGAGTGAAGAACCCACAGCACCCTTCCATTCCTGCCCTGGAGTCCCCTCAATGCCCTCCAGCCCCGCTGGCCCTCTGAGGCTCTCTCGCGTCCTGTGATCTGCCTCACTGGTGAATGACCCCAGGAGGGTCCGCGTGCCCTGTTTGCCGCCATGATCCCCAGGGTCAGGAGGACTTCCCAGATGTTCCCCACTCCGTCTGTTCTCCCCTGATCCCCTGTCCTGGATTCCTTTCATGTTGCTGTCTGGCCTCGGCCTGTGTTCTTTGCTTCTGCCTCCCATTTGTCCATACCTGTCCATTTTGCCCTGCTACCCAACCTTTCCTCCGTTTTGCTGTGGTCTGTGTCCCCTCTTGTTCCTGCCAGTGTTTTTGTCCTTGTCTCTGTTCCCCTTCTTGTCTGCTCTATTATGGGGTGGTATGGTCTGTCTGTCTCTGCTTCTGTCTCCTCTGCCTCTGGTCCACATTGAGATCTGGTTTTTGTCCCTTGGATTCCTGGTCTGTTGTCCCTTGTGCTTGGTCCTTTCCTGTATCTGTATGGTTTTGTGCGATGGTCTCGCTTGTTTATTTCAATAAAACCTTTCCGGTTTATCAAAAATGCCTGGCCTTGAATCCTACTTCCTGAAATTCAGGAAGGGTAGCGGGAATGATGGCGTCTAACCCCCAGGTGTCCCAGCTGCCCCCATTTGCCTCCAGAAATCCTGACTCAGCCCTGGTGGTCCTGTTGGTCACTGGTCCAGTACCTGCCTGTTCTGTGTCCCTTGTGCTGTTTGCGCTGTCCCATCCTGTCTGGTGACTCTGTCCCTCTGCTCTTTTGTGGTGTCTATCCCATGTACCTTGTCCCGGGTACCTCGCCCTATCCTGTCTTCTGTCTCATCTGTCCTTGAACCTATGTGTCCACCCTGTTGTTCGGTCCCTTTGGTCCCCTGCCCTGTACATTTGTTGTGCCCAGAGGGGTGGGGGGTGCTGCTGTTATGTTCTGCCTGCCTAACCCTCCTGTCTCCTCCCTCACGTGGCCCCAATGAGCCACGCCTGATGCTTGTTTCCTCTCGTTAGTCTTTGTACATAAGTACCTTTTTGTCTTGTCTTCTCAAGTTCAGTCATTGGCATCGCTCCTCTTGTCAGCCTGTATCCTTCCTGGTTGAAGTCCCCTTGTTTTGATCATTTGCGGTCCGGTTTCTTTCCAGTCTTTGTTTGTTTTGTTTAATTCCAATAAAACCCTTTTGTTTCATCAAAAATACCTGCCCTCAAATCCTTCATCCCAAAAGTAATGACAAATTACATAGTCCAGTTATGCATTCATATGCGTGCGAAACAAGACATTTTTGTAAAAAATCAGTAAAGCAGAATGCAAGTTATTGAGATTTTTTTTTTTGTATTTTTAATAATATAAAGAAAATAACTCAAACGCTACAATACAGAATACATAACCGACATAGATGCACCTCCTGCATTTTCCCTGTGCAAACCCTAAAATAGCCGAGACCCATGTGTTACAGTATTTTTCTTACAGTTAATCTGTTCCTGCGCAACTTTGCTTGCATGCATATGCACTGGACTAAGATTAATACCTCGTAGTGGATGTTTGGAATAAGCACAATGGGAGTGTGAAGATGGATTAATACTTAGCAGAAGACGGTGGAGGTATTGTGTTTCCGCATAACCTGGTCGTCATCCGCACACACATCCAGAGTGAAAGTTGTTTTAAAGTCAAATGGACTGTAATAGGACTCCAGGACACCAGCAGCAGCAAGGAATGTGTTCAACAAAAAAGAGGTATGAATAATTTATTAGCCTCTGTGTGCATTGCGGCTTCATTGCAAATGTATGTCCCGAAATCAGTGCGTTCAGTGACTTTGCACACGTGTTTCAGGTCTGGCTTGGATCTAAACACCGTGCAATAAGTGACATTCTGCATAGTCCACATCCGGCTATTTCCTGTCAGATGCTGTTTTTTTCGGCCACATTTTGGCAAATTGCAAATCGCGTGAATCACAGAGGAACGGGTAGCTGATCTTTGGTATATGTGATCTCAAATCAGTTAGTCTTTAATGATCTCAAATCAATTACTCTTTCATTTAAACACCCAGAGCAGACTCTCAAGAGGGGGGCCCTCCTGTTAATCACTGATTACAGCCTCTGTGTCTGGTCTGCTTGAAAGAAATGGACTGCTAAGATGTGCCGTGTCTCTTTTAACATTTTAACATCCATGAGAATATTCAGCCTAGGATCAATAGTGCCCACAGACACCAGATGGCCAAAAAGTGTACTTTCTTAATGCAAGTTATACTATTTGGTGGAACTTTTGGAATTTGGCAAGATAAATTGTAAGCTAAATAATATTAATAAATCCTGTAAAAAAAAAACAACACCATTTTGTATTTGTATTTTGATTAATTAATATTAATCTTGCAAATGCATGTCATATTATAGTGATAAAATTATGACTTATTACTTGGATTAATCTTTCATGAATGAACGGGGGTGGGGGGGGAGACAAAGCAGACAATTCAGTTTTATGGAGTTTTTTTTAAAGTTTAAGATTTCTAGTTTTATATTTAGTTTCCTTTATTTAATTCCCATGGTACAGACCGGTATATTTCAGTCAGCTGCGAGCAGCTTCCGCGGGCATGGATGCCCGACGGGGGTGAGGCAGCGAGGTGACAGAAGGGTGATTTCCGAGGGCGCGGTTACGTTCCGCCAAACGGGACGGCCTCCTTTACGCGAGAAAATAAGGACAGTGACGCGCCGGACCCGGCTTATGTAGATTTGCAGACCTACTTTTGAACCTGCTGTAAATGGTGGCTTCATCTTTCCTTTCAGGGTTACATTTCTGCAGTCCCAGTGGTACCTATTATGGGATGCTAGGAGTCATTAATCACACCAGAGTACACATTTCAGTGCTGCGCTCATGCCCTGTTTCCAATACCCATTCATTAACACTTTTCACTGTATATCTTTTCTTAGCATATTCCTCTAGCCCAGTTACACCTGTGTGCCCCGGACTTGCCGCTTTTGCTGACGGACTCATTTCTCCCCTCCTCTTACGGTAAAGCAAGTTTTTTTTCCTCTCTGTATCGTTTTTCCTTTACTGCCCTTTCAACTCAGCGGACAAGCCAGAATTTCTTTGACCCTCACTGCGCTGCTGTCGGATGATATGCAATGGCTTGCTAATAGTATGCATTATGTCTCCTGTTGGGAACATCCTGTACCCAGGTTTAAATAGCGATTTGCAGTTTAAATATGTAAGGCTGTCTCTGAAATCTGCTCTGGTAGATGTGAAGTGGCTTTCAGTTCATGTGCAAAACAAACGTGACTCCGGCACGTGTCATTTATTTATTTTATTGACTTACTTTTTGAAAAACATTTCATTTCCATTTCATCATCGCAGTGTTTTCCAGTTTTCATTAAGATCAAAACCATGAAAACTAAAAGATATGTCTTGTCAACCAGCTGGGCAAGCAGAAATTCATAAATCAAATTATACTGTGACAGTGTAGAACCAATTACCACTTCGACAATAACATCGAAACAGGAAAAGTAAAAATACTTAATAAATAGTAACGAAATAGGACAATGGTATTTACAAAGCACCCGTGTGTGTAATTTGCATGTTTTTACTGTGCTGCTGGGAGTTTTACTTACGAAAAATGTTCTGAGGACAGAAGGAAAAATGATTGGGTCAGAGAGACAACCAATCAGACTATAGAAGAGGTGGGTCCAGGCAACTAGAAGCATTGGAAGCAAGACATCTGATTGGTCGGTCCGACCTCCTCTAGTAACGTGGACCTTTTCGCGTAGGCCAAAGATATACAGTCACTGGTGTCTCTCAATTGGCCATCATGTGTGAGTATGAGTGCCTTGTGCTGCAATGGCATCCCATCCAGGGTCTTTCCCCTGTCTTGTATGCTGAGCTGCCTGGGATAGGCTCCAACCCCCCCCATTATCCTGTCCCAGATAAGTGGTCAGAAGATGGATGGATGCAAAATATTGCTATCGTCATGTTTTCCTGCTTTTGAGCTTTCATTTGTTGCTGATAATAATCACATATTTTATTTTGAGTTAAGATATGTTATAGCCACTGCCGTACATCATAAATTAGCCATGGGGAGAGTAACTGCCATCACAGTTATTAATGATCTTTCCAATTGTTGGGTTTCATACATGAATTATTGATATGTTTCTCTATTCGAAAGAAGGACAAAACACACAGCATATGAATGTATGCATGATGTTCATGATTGCCTTTGAAGGATCTTTGCTGAGGTAGGGTTTTATGGATCCTGCCCAGTTTATAGTTTACCTTGGTTCATCTCTCTTGTTTTTGGGTAATTTTTTTTCAGATTTCTGAGGATTTTCTGGGTTTTCCTTCCGTGACGTGATGATGACATTGGACTACGATTTGGTGCTGACATTTTGGATTCATCTGTCTGTCCCAAGGACTCCGACAAGCTCCATTCAGTTTGCCTCTGCATGTCTATCTGAAAACACCCCCTTCCCCTCCACATTTTCATTTGATTTTTTTTTCCTGTGCAAACCCTATCTAATCTCTATTCCTGTTTATTGATGTTATCCTCTGGCTTTGTTTGTTAAAACTGGATTTGTTGGAAATAAAGAGCATTACCACTCCAGTCTCTCCCAGGCCGTAAAGAAAACCTGATTTGTATTTTGACACATCTCTAAATTGAAAGATGGCCTTGTTGTCAGTGTTCCAAATTCAGTATGAAACAGTGCCATGAAAAATGTAATGATAAACTAACAAATAAAACTTTCACTACATTTTAGCAATAGACACACACACATACACATATATATTTATATTTACATGTACTGTATTTAATATGGAATGCAAGCTGTGGTGCCGTCTTGTAAGGATACTATCTATACATCTATACCTATCTATCTATCTATCTATCTATACCTATATATCTATACATCTATACCTATCTATCTATCTATCTATCTGCCTGTCTATCTATACCTATCTAGCTATCTATCTGTCTGTCTATCTATCTATCTATCTATACATCTATACCTATCTATCTATCTATACATTTATACCTATCTATCTATCTATCTATCTATCTATCTATCTATCTATCTATCTGTCTGTCTGTCTGTCCATATATATGGTTTTGACATTAAAGTAAATCTGCACTAAATACTCAAGCAGTTATTAATATCTAGTTTCATTTGCTCTGTATTCATTCTTGAATAAAACAGAGCGTCAATGATACAATTAAAAGCAGCATAAATACCAAATAATGTCGGTAATTTCTTATATGTCAACCACAAACAAAGTGCATTTAATCATATGTATGTGTTTACCTCAAAGGCACAGCCAAGGACAGATCAAGATGAAAACGATGGCTGCCATTATTATAAGATTGAAGACCAGGATTCCACCTGCCTGTAAATTCTGTTCTGTTTGCTGTTTGTTTCCACCAGCCTGTAAATTCTGTTCTGTTTGCTGTTTGTTTCCACCTGCCTGTAAATTCTGTTTTGTTTGCTGTCGTGGCATTCGGGGCTGCTGCTGGCACACCTGCAGACCAAACAGATGGAAATCTCTGACGGCAATTCCTTTGCATGAATTGTGCATGGCACTCTCCCCATTCTCTGCTGTGATTGGCTAAAGGACACCAATCCAGTTCTGCCATTAGCAGTAAACAACCTATGGCATATCAGCATAGAGAAACAATTTATTCAGTAGTTTGTTTGGTAACACTTTACTTGAAGCAGTCTACATAATGGTGACATGTAACCGTCATAAGAATGACATGACACATGTCATGCACATTAATGACACATTATTGATGTTTTTGACTGTTGTCATAAACATCACTGTTGTCATAATGTGTCATTCGGTTTTTGGAACTGAATGACACATTATGACAACAGTCATAAACATCAATAATGTGTCATTAATGTGCATGACATATGTCATGTCATTCTTATGACGGTTACATGTCACCCTTATGTAGACTGTTTCATGTAAAGTGTTGCCGTTTGTTTTTAGGCATCATTCATCCATGTGACTAGCTAAGGGGCTATGAAATTTATGAAATTATGAAATTTAAATACTTCAATTTAAGACAAAGCTTTGCAATTATTCAGATTATGCAGCTTTCCTTCAAAACATTTGCAGGTGAACACAGAGGTTTCCTAAGACACACACAGCTATGCGTTTAGTCCCACTTAATAAACCGGATGAAATTGCCGCTGGAACTTTGGTGGGCAAATGAGCTCCGTCCCTTAAAGAGCTTCACTGACTCTAAAGGCTAATTTATTTCAGGGGAAGTTCAGAGGCTTGCAATGGTTTCTGCGTTCCAGCTAAAGACACAAACGGCGAGATGGAGGACTTCACTTCATCTATTTGCTCAAATTAGAGTTCCGTTAAATGCCGTTGTCGTGGCGCCGGAGCGAGGCACTTGAGGGTGAGGCTTTTGTCTGGCAGAGGACCCTTGTGGGTCTGTGGAAACGGAAACAGAAACAGACAGGCGTCGAAGAAAAGAGGGAGGAACGCGAGATTGTGGAGGATGTTCCGGAGCGTTTCAGACACACTCCAGCCCTGATTCATTATAGCCCATTTTCGCTGTGACATCCCACCACGAGCTAGGGGTTTGAAATCACCGGGGAGACGGAAAGCGCTGTGTCCACATAACGAGAGAGAGCCGCTTAAATCAGCAACACGCTACGACATGAGTCTGACTACTAATCGGCTGGAAGGGTGGGGCATGGGGGGGTGAGGAGGGAGGGGCGCAAGGGGTGAGGAATCCCCAAAAATTCCCTCTACCGCTGTCACAGCGGACATTAAACCGAAAAGTTATTTGTGCAAGATCGCCGCTAATAATTTCTAGCCTGTTACTTGAAGTACTCTTTTAGTTAAGCTGTGTATTGATTAAGCGAGGAGAGGCAAGCGTGCCATCAGAGATGAACAGATTAGATGGCCTGTCTGATGTGCGGGGACTAGGACCACTTATTTACATCTACAGCCTGCCAGAGGGCTCATCTGTTAATGTAATTACATCACGCTTCAAGAGACGGTATTAAATAAATCTTAATTACATGTCATGTAAAAAAAAAAGGCACAATTAGCTAAGAACAGGAGGAATTGATATACGCCTTTGAATGTGGCTGTAATAACTTACAATTATGATAATAGACATACACTTAGATGTGCACTTTCTTCATTTGGGGTTCTGATGAGCTTGTTGGAGAGCAGAAACTTTCTATGAATGTATTAAAGCCCTCCTGAGTCATGTGGATCGTGATAATCTTATATGTTAGTCGTTGTGCTGGCGGAACGCTTCACTCCAGAGTGTTGACGGATTTTCATGTGCGCTGGTGGTTTATTTTTCCTTGGAGACAGAGATAGAGAGAGTGAGGGAGAGAGAGAGAGGGAGAGAGAGAGGGGGAGAGGGTTTGCAGAATCTGTCACGTTTTCCCCTCCACCTTATGTTCATGGGGGGATATTACTGTGCGATCTGGCCTCAAGCATTTGCTCCCAGGTCCAGCTGCGGTCAGGAGGTCATTGGCATGTCTTTGACTGTCGGAGCTGTTGTGTGTGGTCCAGGGGCTGACCTTCCCTGAGGCCATCTCTCACCATTGACCGTGTGCTGACTCTCTGCTCATCCCCGTCTTGCTGTGTCCAACCCCCACACCCACCCCCTGACGAGCGGCTGGAACAGCACCACTGGACTGTCAGCCGTTCCAGCACGCAGGTCGCCGCCCTGCTGCTGGGAGTCAAGCACTGCGCCGCGCCGGAATCGATGGCAAAACAATGGTGCGATGGCACGTCTGCCTAGTGGTCCCTTGACTCCACGAGCAGAACTGGCAGAAAGCAGCTCAGGCTTGGAAAACATTCACATGCTCTGAGGTAATTACAAGCTGAATCCACGGTGCCCCAACTCCAGGATACAGGCACAACTCACGCTGCATAATCATTAGGGGCTTTGGTGGAGGAACTCAGAGACAACTACTCACGAGGAAAGGAAGGGAGAATTTCCGTCATTTACCTTATTATTTATATTGTTTAAATACCTTGTATAGAGATCTAGGATATAATTTAATGAGTTTCTAAAGCCCTAAACTGAGAGAAGTGAATAAAGTCTACAAAAGTAGACAACAGTAGTCTATCCATGGAGATAATTACTAAGAAAACTGAGACAATAGATAAAATATTTGCTTTTTTCTTCAGTAACGTCTGCATATTTCTTCTAATTAAAAATGATGTGTTTATGTTTCAAAAGTGCTAAAAATAACTGTGAATGGTCACTTCAGAATGTACTGGCTGTGGGAATTCTACCGGGCATAATGTGGGAGCGTGATTAAGAGATCTTAAGACAAATGTCCCTGTAGTCACATGAAGAGCAGGAAAATGGCAGCACCATTAGTCACCCCTTAGATTAAATTAATAGGACAAAACGTAGTGTAGTGCGGGACTGTGAATAATGACAGGCATTGCCTGCCTTTTGTTTCAGAACAGAAGTTAATAACACTTGCCAATTCTTCAATAAATATCAGATGGGTCTGCGTCATTTTTGAAAATGAGGCCTCATCTCCTTTTACGCTCGTGACAGGTGCTATTTAATTCAGGTGTCACAGGACACATGACAGAGTAACAGTGTCACTAGCTAGACCCGCGCAAATGCGTGGATGTTTTGTGGCACCTCTTCACTTTTCTCCGTTAGGATGGGCGTCACATCGCAGCGCCGCTCCCGTAATTATTTTCCCCAGCATTTTTCCTGCCTGCACCGTCTGGATTTTGGAATTATGTCGTGAGCCACCAAGGCTGACAGTGTCTCCTCTGTGATGGTCACTCACAAGTCAGGTGACCAGGGTGTTGGGCAGGTGGCTTCACCTAAAGGGATAAAACACCCAGTCAAGTGACTAATTTCCCTGATAATTACTTCAATTAAACAGTTAAGAGCTGAAGTTGAGTGAGAAGCAGAGACATATAAAGGGGCGGGGCCACTGGGGCACTGGCCCCAGCTGAAAGCTGATTGGCTCCCAGAGGTCCCCCATCCTGTCATTCACCGATTTAAATTATATCATTGGCTAATGATACGATTCGCATTTCTGTATCAATTATGGCCCCTCTTATGCTCCCCCCACCCTAAAAAAATCCAAGAATTGCCCTGGTGAGAAGCTGTTGATCTAGAAGAATCACGTTTTATTGCTAAAACAAAACCATAACAGTATATTTACCCTCTCAGACGGGGTCACTCGTTGCTCAAGAAGAACGAAAAAATGTAGGAGCCCAGCTCTCCCTGAGCAGTCTGGCCATCTCCCTGTACCTACACAGCATGGCACGTTTACACATGAAGGTACGGAGAGTAGCTCTGTCAGATCACTCACTCTGCTGTGGCGCGGGTGAGGGGCGTAGCCCGATTGCGCCCTTTACGCCCTTTATATGCGTTTATGATCGCGCTGGTTACAGATGCCAGCTGGGCACACGCTGTCTGAATCGCTGCCCGTGCTGCCACTCGAGACGGGCGGGCACAAGCTACGTTGGAGTGATGCCAGCGGCAGCCTTGTTCCCCAGAAAAGCTCCTCAGCTTATTCTGCCGCAT